TTCCCCTCCCTCCCTCCCCTCCCATCCCTCCCTCCCCCTCCACTTCTCTTCCTCCTCCTGTTTTCACCCTGTCCTACTTCTTCGTCTTCCTCTACCCCCCTGACTTCAACTCATGGTTCATAGCACCACGTCGAAGGAGGCAAACTCGCCTTCTTTTCCATCCTTCGCCTCCCATCCTTTCGTTTCTCTCGAGCCCTCGCTGCTCGTCTCTCCTACCGCTGTGCTTCATTCGGAGAACAAATCTTGTGCCTTCATAAAGCTGTGAGCAAAGGTTGCCATGCGATAAGAATGGTGGTGATGATGATGATGATGATGAGGATGAGGATGACGACGAGGTGGTGGTGGTGGTGGTGGTAGTGGATTAGGATTAGGAGGACTAGGATGATTGAGATGATTAGGATGACGATGACGATGACGATGAGGACGAAGACGAGGATGAAAACCCCTCTTGTCTCCTCGTGTTTCGAAGGGGCTTACTGACTCTTCTCTCGTATTTTTCTCTCTGATGATTCTCCTCCCCTCCCCTCCCCTCCCCTCCCCTCCCCTCATTACATCGATGCATCGATGTTTTTTATATATATATTATATTTTTTTTATATTTTTTATATATACCTTTTCGGTCATCAGCCTGGCGGCCCAGTCAGCCAGTGACCGCGGGACCGGATGCGGCACTGCCCGGCGGGCCGGCAGCCGGCGGCGCCGGGCCTCTGTCGCGGCCCGGTGGCAACAGGAACTTCCGAAAGTCACACTGTCATACTGCCGGGCGGCGCGGCTATCGCCGCTCAGCCAGTACCATATATCAGGCTGATACCGAACTTCCCGGTGATGTCGGACTCGGATCATCATACTGATACTAACATCCGATGAGTCACCGGCGACCGCCGGGTGACCGTCACCGGGTGATTCCAAACTTGGCTTCCAAGTTCGGCCCCGCCGGGACTCCGGAAGTTCGGTCGGACTCCAGCCTGATCGGACACACTGCCACAACTTGCAAGTTGTCCCCACGGGCATTGTGACTCTCGGAGGCTTCAAGCTTGTTGAGGGTTCAATGGGTCACGGTTGCCAGCCTGACGTCAGTGAGCCGCGACTGATCCAGTGACGGTGAGCGGCCTCGGGAGTCGGAGCTTGCCATCAATCTTGGCACTGAAAAGAAGCATCTACTGTGGGATGAACAGTGACTGCGTCGGCTGCTGACATCATTCGTCGCGCGGGTCCTCCTCCAGCATTTGCGCGGCCTGACGCCTGCGCCGAGTTGTGGAGTCGAAACTCTTCAGCTAGAAGGGTCTGTTCTGTCCTCATGTTGTATGCCGCGCTGATCCAGCATCGCTAGTAAACTCGACATCACAACTTCACCTTCATGTGTGATCCAGCATCGCTAGTAAACTCGACATCACAACTTCACCTTCATGTGTGATCCAGCATCGCTAGTAAACTCGACATCACAACTTCACCTTCATGTGTGATCCAGCATCGCTAGTAAACTCGACATCACAACTTCACCTTCATGTGTGATCCAGCATCGCTAGTAAACTCGACATCACAACTTCACCTTCATGTGTGATCCAGCATCGCTAGTAAACTCGACATCACAACTTCACCTTCATGTGTGATCCAGCATCGCTAGTAAACTCGACATCACAACTTCACCTTCATGTGTGATCCAGCATCGCTAGTAAACTCGACATCACAACTTCACCTTCATGTGTGATCCAGCATCGCTAGTAAACTCGACATCACAACTTCACCTTCATGTGTGATCCAGCATCGCTAGTAAACTCGACATCACAACTTCACCTTCATGTGTGATCCAGCATCGCTAGTAAACTCGACATCACAACTTCACCTTCATGTGTGATCCAGCATCGCTAGTAAACTCGACATCACAACTTCACCTTCATGTGTGATCCAGCATCGCTAGTAAACTCGACATCACAACTTCACCTTCATGTGTGATCCAGCATCGCTAGTAAACTCGACATCACAACTTCACCTTCATGTGTGATCCAGCATCGCTAGTAAACTCGACATCACAACTTCACCTTCATGTGTGATCCAGCATCGCTAGTAAACTCGACATCACAACTTCACCTTCATGTGTGATCCAGCATCGCTAGTAAACTCGACATCACAACTTCACCTTCATGTGTGATCCAGCATCGCTAGTAAACTCGACATCACAACTTCACCTTCATGTGTGATCCAGCGGAGGCGCCTTGAGCATTCAATGTAGACGTCTGAAACCGGTTAGGCTTCGGGGTGTGACACCAGGTCTCAGGCTTCAAATCCTCAATGCGACTAAATTCAGCATCAAGATCCTGATTTCAGGTGCTCAGAAGAAGATTGAAATCTTGTTGGAGGATTCTCACTTCTCGAGCTCAACATTCTTTCTCTTCACATGGCCGGACTCAGTCGGGAGCGACTGAGCTTACATCATACATGATCCGACAACTTCGCATCACGGAGCGAAGGCAAGTCATCATCCGCTGAATCACACATTGAATTGCAAAGGCAGATGCGTCGAGTGCGATCACTGAAGGTTCAGTTCCCAAGTTCACTCGAGACAGAAAAACAAAGCATTCACGACTCTAGCTAGACTGAGTCACAGGCTTAACTTCATCCTCGAGAGAGCCTGTGGCCCAAGGGAAATATCGCCTCCTCCCATCTCATGCCCCGCCCACGCACCCGTGACTGTCACACTCCCCTCCTCTCTTTCTCCTCTTCCCATCTGCCGGGCCCTCGGGCCTGCTAGTCGCTCTGCCGCCCTCCAAGCGGCTCCCACGCATAGCCCCCCTCCCCCCCCACAAGCCCCCTCAGCTCTCTCCCGGTCCGTCTTGACCTCTCCCCGCGGGTCTCCCCTCCTCCCAGTCCTTCTGCAGCTGACGGAAGTACTTCTGCGCATGCGATCGCACCTGCGACTCCGTGCGAGTCTTGACGTACTCGGCGATCTTCCGCGCGACCCCGGGCCCCAGCACCGCTCCTCGTCCTCCGTCGCTGGTCTCGCTCGTACTCGTCGTCGACTGGTAGGCGCGCAGGGCCTTGACAAAGCGAGCATGCTCGAGAGGCGTCCAGCGGTTACGAGGGTCGCGTTGCCGCTCTTCAGCCTGGCTCGAGCTGGGCACGGCGGGGGCGGCGGGGGCTCCGGAGCTGGGCGACGGGTCTTGAGGAGGGGCAGGAGGAGGAGCCTCGTCGTAGGCGAGGACGAAGGCGACGAGCGAGTAGTTCCATGGCTCGTCGGAGGGCGCAGGCAGCTCTGGGTCCAGGGAGAGAGAAGTGAGGGAAGACAGAGGATAAGCTGATCAGAAGGGGAGGAGCTGTCGACGCGCGCTAAGAGGCGGTAGAGAGGAAGTTGAGGACAGGGATGGGAGGGATGTACGGCCAGAGGAGGAGCAGGATTGAAGGGATGATGAAGGGGTGGATAAGACGGGGGGTATGGAGGGTCAGGACAAGCCCCCGTTGCATCATTTTGTAGGGCCGTCCGTCAGCATTCAAACGATTTGAAGCAGCCCGAAATGACAGAGAAGATCAGAGGGAAGATTTGAAATTAAGTTTGAAAACCTTTCACGGAGTAGCCCTTGACAACCCCTCCCCCCCCCCAAATGGCAGGGAAGCACGCACAAAGAAGGAGAGCGACAGGGAAAATCGCTAGGAAGAGAAGCTGACGGATATAACGAGAAGACAACGACTATCATCTGAAAAGACAAGCTGACGGATGTAACGAGAAGACAACGACTATCATCTGACAAGACAAGCTGACGGATGTAACGAGAAGACAACGACTATCATCTGACAAGACAAGCTGACGGATGTAACGAGAAGACAACGACTATCATCTGACAAGACAAGCTGACGGATGTAACGAGAAGACAATGACTATCATCTGACAAGACAAGCTGACGGATGTAACGAGAAGACAACGACTATCATCTGACAAGACAAGCTGACGGATGTAACGAGAAGACAATGACTATCATCTGAAAAGACAAGCTGACGGATGTAACGAGAAGACAACGACTATCATCTGACAAGACAAGCTGACGGATGTAACGAGAAGACAACGACTATCATCTGACAAGACAAGCTGACGGATGTAACGAGAAGACAACGACTATCATCTGAAAAGACAAGCTTACGGATGTAACGAGAAGACAATGACTATCATCTGAAAAGAGAAGCTTACGGATGTAACAAGAAGACAACGACTATCATCTGAAAGAAAAGCTGAGTCGGAGTGGTTTACGGTGAGGTTTACTCATCAACCATGCTTACTGCAAGGTTTATCTCACGTTACAGTTCAGACTCAAAGCGGTCACATTGCGACAGGGATTGTGACTAAACATCGTCAATGCGGGTATCTGTTAGTATCCAAGGCAGCCATGTTCGCTCGGAGGCCTGCCCAGGCGCGATGCGGCTCCAAGCTCGCAGATGCATCAATGTCAGGGCTGCATCACTGAGACGACCTTGATGCGTCCGGGCTTGACTGAGATTGAAAAATATGTAGGAGCAAAGAGAGAGACTGAATACCCACTCGGATATAAGCAACTCATGGAACAAGAAAAGTAACAACCCTTGGAGGCTGAAAGAGTGCTTCTCAAACTGTTGGACATACCTGGAAGGCTAAAAGCTTCAAGTTGAGGATTGCGGCACGAGCATTCGTCGTTGATGTTGCAAACCTGACAGACAGATTCATCCGCTAGGAATGTTCATCTTGACTCAGTTTCGTGATCAGAGCTGAGCCAGGGCAAGCAATGAACCTAAAAAAGCAGACCAATATCAGGACTGATTGACGATCAGCACATACATCCCACCGAAGAAGCTGCTTGGTCAGAGGCCACAGGGGACCTGGAGGGCTGGCGGACAAGAGGATGCTGAGAGCTGAAAAACTGACAGTCTAGAACGAGGGGAGAAGAATATAATAAGATGGTATGAATTGATTGACGAGTCTGCAGCTATACACGACGCAACAAGGTCAGTCAACTTGAAAGCTTCATCGAACAGCAAACGATGTGTTGAAGTTCACAGTTTGACTGAGCTTCTCAACGTTTCTTTCTGTTCCTTGTAAAGCTCGGGATCGCAGACACCTCAACAGGTCTGCTACTTGGACCTACAGGTTTGTCCGCCCCTGGACGTGCCTGGGGGGCTCGCGGCTCTCCGCCTGTGCCTCTGGGTCAGCTGTGAAAGTGCTTGCAAGTATTCGAAGGCTTTCGCTGGCTCGATCTCTTGTCAAGCGCAACCTCGTTCTGATGTGACTCCTTTGCGCCGCTGGCTTCCTAGACTCGACCTGGAGAGAAGATGTATCTGACGACCATGAGCACAGTGGTCAACGCCTCCTTCATGATTCTGTTCCTTCAGCCACCGTCCTCCAGGCCCCATCCGATGACCCGGCCTAGCTCAGATCATGGCGATCTGACTGAGCTTATCCGACAAGGGCATACAAGCAATCGCACAACACGGACGCATCGAGTGCGATCACTGAAGGATCAGATGTCACCAAAACAAATTCATTCATGACTCTACTGAGCTAGAAATATCAATGTCATCCTCCAGAGAGCCTGTGGCCCAAGGGAAATATCGCCTCCTCCCATCTCATGCCCCGCCCACGCACCCGTGACTGTCACACCCCCCTCCTCTCTTTCTCCTCTTCCCATCTGCCGGGCCCTCGGGCCTGCTAGTCGCTCTGCCGCCCTCCAAGCGGCTCCCACGCATAGCCCCCCTCCCCCCCCACAAGCCCCCTCAGCTCTCTCCCGCTCCGTCTTGACCTCTCCCCGCGGGTCTCCCCTCCTCCCGGTCCTTCTGCAGCTGACGGAAGTACTTCTGCGCATGCGATCGCACCTGCGACTCCGTGCGAGTCTTGACGTACTCGGCGATCTTCCGCGCGACCCCGGGCCCCAGCACCGCTCCTCGTCCTCCGTCGCTGGTCTCGCTCGTACTCGTCGTCGACTGGTAGGCGCGCAGGGCCTTGACAAAGCGAGCATGCTCGAGAGGCGTCCAGCGGTTACGAGGGTCGCGTTGCCGCTCTTCAGCCTGGCTCGAGCTGGGCACGGCGGGGGCGGCGGGGGCTCCGGAGCTGGGCGACGGGTCTTGAGGAGGGGCAGGAGGAGGAGCCTCGTCGTAGGCGAGGACGAAGGCGACGAGCGAGTAGTTCCATGGCTCGTCGGAGGGCGCAGGCAGCTCTGGGTCCATGGCGAGAGCGTCGCGAGAGCCGTGAGGAGGCGGAGGAGGGTCTTGGTGACAAGAGCCGAGCGCAAAGAGGAGGGAGAGAGAAGTGAGGGAAGACAGAGGATGAGCTGATCAGAAGGAGAGGAGCTGTCGACGCGCGCTAAGAGGCGGTAGAGAGGAAGTTGAGGACAGGGATGGGAGGGATGTACGGCCAGAGGAGGAGCAGGATTGAAGGGATGATGAAGGGGGGTAAGGGGGGGTATGGGGGGTCAGGACAAGCCCCCGTTGCGTCATTTTGTAGGGCCGTCCGTCAGCATTCAAACGATTTGAAGCAGCCCGAAATGACAGAGAAGATCAGAGGGAAGATTTGAAATTAAGTTTGAAAACCTTTCACGGAGTAGCCCATGACCACCCCCTCCGGAATGGCAATGGCAGCAAGGCGGCAACCAGGTTTGAGGATGATTTATTCAGCCTGTGCAATGATGACAATCGTGAAACCACCATAGCCAATCAGGGATTTGTGAGATCTATATCATGGTGTCAATCATTTGAATGTCATCGTTGCAGAGTTTAATATTTTCTACAATACGTTTTCTCTGTTTTCGACTTGCAACCAGCAATGCTACGCAATCCCCGGAACCGTTGCATATTTCCTGTTCATCCTTCATCCCATTCCCCTGATTTAGCATATACTGACTTTCGTTTGTTCTTCTGCCTGCTATTTTCTGGCTCCACATCATTATCAGATCCATCCCGTGCATTGAAAGCTTCACGGTCGTGGGGTTTGCTTAGGATACAAAAGGCAGGTTTGGATCCACCTTTTTAGATACTTCCGTGCATGCCTGATTGAATTTTCTCAGAAAATTCTTCTTGTTCAGATGGCCGGTCAAGGACCAAAGATTCTCTACACTATCCGTACAGAGAGTTCGTGAATTGAAGTCATAGTCTCTATCACCCAGCGTATGATTCTTATCCCTCACATACTGTTGTACAGGCACATGAGTATCAATTGCAACTATGAACCCTTCAAATGTGACAGAGGATAGTCCTTTGACATATTTGTGGCTGACACTGGTCCAGTCGATGCCTTCCAAAAGCCATCTTCGACCCTCTTGTACTAGACGTATCCGCTCTGAAACTTTCAGCCCTCTTTCATCGAATGCTTTGTGCAGGCCAGACATAGCCTCTGCCATTCTTGCTGTCGCTTCATGCCCTTCTGCCTTCAGTAGACTGATGGCCTTGTCACTGAACATCTTCAGCATGATATCCACCGATTGTGGATCGGCGGTCCCGTCGACTTCCATCTGAGTCATCCACGCAGCATTCTTCTTGGCGATATCGCTGTAAGCTTTATTACATATCTTTGCTTCCCTTGATGATGACTGCGACTTCCCTGATCCAATGGAATGTCTTACATTCTTCAGCAAGAGATTGATGCACGGCGAGAAAATCAACAGCTTCTTACTAATGGGAGAGACGACAGGATTGGATAACCATTCGTCGAATTGAAAGCGGATCTTGTATTCATCAAAGTTATTTAGTCCATCAGCTATTCTTCGCTCCATCTCCCAAGGAGTGAATGTTTCCTCCCCCTCTTCATTGCGGTTGGCCAACAAAGGAACTTCTTCATATCCATACCGTCTGCAAAATATTTGAAGCCTGCAAAACATCTCTTTCAAGGTCGCTCTGGGCCTCATGCTCGTATTGCATCGTAGCGTCTTCTCCTTTTGAACTTGCCATATGGCCTGGTTCTGTCGTAACTGCAAAACAAACTGTTTGATTTCTCTCATCTCGGCAACATCCATGTGTACAAGGTTTCGATTCTTCCTGTGAATATTGCCAATACGTGTACGAAGTCGATTCAAGTGCTCATACACGGCCTTTGTCCCTCCAAGTGATTTACCAGATGCTTGTTTTTCGAAACCTGTATGTAGCGCTGGAGAAAACATCTCGAAAATCCTTCTAATGTATGCCCATAGACATCTCCGAGGACCTTTAGTTTGTTTTGGACTTCAAACAAGGATACAGAACGAAGACTCCACTTGAGGTAATGGGTCGCTGAAGCTAGAAGATTCTCTCGTCTTCACACTCCACAGATAAAGTTGCATGGACATGACATTGCAAGAAATCCAACAGCTTGAAATCCAAGGCATCATCCCATTTAGAGAGCAAGATCTGCTCAAGATCATTGAAGGTCTTGTGTTGTTTGAACCTTGAAACACAAGTTGTGCACAAAGGCACACCATGCCACTTTCGAATGCTTGTCATCTCACTTCGTCTGTGGCATGATGAGCACGTTTTCTTCGCTGGAGGCCTCGGCCTGACCATGGTGTGGGGCACCATAGCTTTGACCACCAAAACTCTGATTTGAATTTTCTCGTGACACCCTGCCATGGCATGCAGCACCCCCTAAATTCCCCGCCATGGTGCCCCGAACACACTGCATGGCGGCGCGATGAGGAAAGAGGAGAGTATTTAACTAAATATCTCTACCAGTTAATTCCCACACTAGGGGTTGGCCCGTCTGTCAAATCGAAAATGCTAGTTCCCAACAGAAAATCGCTAGGAGAAGGAGCTGAGGACTGTAACAAGAAGACAATGACTATCATCTGAAAGAGAAGACAACGACTATCATCTGAAAGAGAAGACAACGACTATCATCTGAAAGAGAAGACAACGACTATCATCTGAAAGAGAAGACAACGACTATCATCTGAAAGAGAAGACAACGACTATCATCTGAAAGAAAAGCTGAGTCGGAGTGGTTTACGGTGAGGTTTACTCATCAACCATGCTCACTGCAAGGTTTATCTAACGTTACAGTTCAGACTCAAAGCGGTCACATTGCGACAGGGAATGTGACTAAACATCGTCAATGCGGGTATCTGTTAGTATCCAAGGCAGCCATGTTCGCTCGGAGGCCTGCCCAGGCGCGATGCGGCTCCAAGCTCGCAGATGCATCAATGTCAGGGCTGCATCACTGAGACGACCTTGATGCGTCCGGGCTTGACTGAGATTGAAAAATATGTAGGAGCAAAGAGAGAGACTGAATACCCACTCGGATATAAGCAACTCATGGAACAAGAAAAGTAACAACCCTTGGAGGCTGAACGAGTGCTTCTCAAACTGTTGGACATACCTGGAAGGCTAAAAGCTTCAAGTTGAGGATTGCGGCACGAGCATTCGTCGTTGATGTTGCAAACCTGACAGACAGATTCATCCGCTAGGAATGTTCATCTTGACTCAGTTTCGTGATCAGAGCTGAGCCAGGGCAAGTAATGAACCTAAAAAAGCAGACCAATATCAGGACTGATTGACGATCAGCACATACATCCCATCATCAACGACTTCTTGTCTGATCAAGTCAGCGTGGAGAATCCTTTCATACACGAGGCATCAACAGAGACACCGAAGAAGCTGCTTGGTCAGAGGCTAGGGGACCTGGAGGGCTGGCGGACAAGAGGATGCTGAGAGCTGAAAAACTGACAGTCTAGAACGATATGAATTGATTGACGAGTCTGCAGCTATACACGACGCAACAAGGTCAGTCAACTTGAAAGCTTCATCGAACAGCAAACGATGTGTTGAAGTTCACAGGTTGACTGCGCTTCTCAACGTTTCTTTCTGTTCCTTGTAAAGCTCGGGATCGCAGACACCTCAACAGGTCTGCTACTTGGACCTACAGGTTTGTCCGCCCCTGGACGTGCCTGGGGGGCTCGCGGCTCTCCGCCTGTGCCTCTGGGTCAGCTGTGAAAGTGCTTGCAAGTATTCGAAGGCTTTCGCTGGCTCGATCTCTTGTCAAGCGCAACCTCGTTCTGATGTGACTCCTTTGCGCCGCTTGCTTCCTAGACTCGACCTGGAGAGAAGATGTATCTGACGACCATGAGCACAGTGGTCAACGCCTCCTTCATGATTCTGTTCCTTCAGCCACCGTCCTCCAGGCCCCATCCGATGACCCGGCCTAGCTCAGATCATGGCGATCTGACTGAGCTTATCCGACAAGGGCATACAAGCAATCGCACAACACGGATGCATCGAGTGCGATCACTGAAGGATCAGATGTCACCAAAACAAATTCATTCATGACTCTACTGAGCTAGAAATATCAATGTCATCCTCCAGAGAGCCTGTGGCCCAAGGGAAATATCGCCTCCTCCCATCTCATGCCCCGCCCACGCACCCGTGACTGTCACACCCGTCGCTCTGCCGCCCTCCAAGCGGCTCCCACGCATAGCCCCCCTCCCCCCCCACAAGCCCCCTCAGCTCTCTCCCGCTCCGTCTTGACCTCTCCCCGCGGGTCTCCCCTCCTCCCGGTCCTTCTGCAGCTGACGGAAGTACTTCTGCGCATGCGATCGCACCTGCGACTCCGTGCGAGTCTTGACGTACTCGGCGATCTTCCGCGCGACCCCGGGCCCCAGCACCGCTCCTCGTCCTCCGTCGCTGGTCTCGCTCGTACTCGTCGTCGACTGGTAGGCGCGCAGGGCCTTGACGAAGCGAGCATGCTCGAGAGGCGTCCAGCGGTTACGAGGGTCGCGTTGCCGCTCTTCAGCCTGGCTCGAGCTGGGCACGGCGGGGGCGGCGGGGGCTCCGGAGCTGGGCGACGGGTCTTGAGGAGGGGCAGGAGGAGGAGCCTCGTCGTAGGCGAGGACGAAGGCGACGAGCGAGTAGTTCCATGGCTCGTCGGAGGGAGCAGGCAGCTCTGGGTCCATGGCGAGAGCGTCGCGAGAGCCGTGAGGAGGCGGAGGAGGGTCTTGGAGACGACGGCTGCGCGTATGGCGACAGGCGGGGGGCGGGACTGCAGGAGAGGAGGGGAAGAGGGTAGAGAGGAGGTCGGGGACACAGAGGGGATCTGGCGGTGTAGAGGGGGGCAGTGGCTGGTGGAGAAACACGAGGGCAGAGGAGACTGGACGGTTCTTGTAGGGCAGCCTAGAGAGGGTCGGGGGAGGAGGGAGAGAGGAGGGAGGAGGACGCAGAGCAGGAGAAATCAGAGGCAGCGAGTCTGCATGCCAGTTGGTCAGTCACTGAAAGGCCGGTAGGGGTGGTCGGAGGGCCAGCCCCCAAGTTGTTATAATAGGGGGCTTATTTACAGAGGCTTTGACAAGATATGAAAGGGGAGATTTGAAATTTAATTTGAATGCTACGTACAAACTCAAACTCGCCGACCTCAGGCTTAACTTTGAGTAAAAAGCTCAAGCGGCCCCCGAGCCTGACTCGATTGAATTTCATAGCGTTCAGTAAACTGAGTGATTTGAACGCTAATCTGAAACTTTCAAATCTGCTCAGTTAAAAGCCGATTGAATTTCATACCGTTCAGTAAACTGAGTGATTTGAACGCTAATCTGAAACTTTCAAATCTGCTCAGTTGAAAGCCGATTGAACTTCATACCGTTCAGTAGTAAACGGAGTCGTTCAGTAAACGGAGTCAGATTTGAGCGCTAATCTGAAATTTTCAAAATCTGCTCAGTTGAAAGTCGATGAACAAATTTCATATCCGATTCAGTAAACGGAGTCGGATTTGAACGCTAATCGATTTGAATTTCAGTTTCATACCGTTCAGTACTAAACGGAGTGATTTGTCGGAACGCGGCTAGAGTCTGACGGGACTCTCAATCGGAAACTTTAAAATCTGCTCAGTTAAACTTGAATTGCCCTCAGTGGGCCCCTCCGAGTCCGCTGCTCCCGGGAGGCCCCCTCAGATCAGTGTCGGATGCGCCGGGCCCGCCGGCCCGCCGGGCCGGGTCACCGTGGCACCCGGTGACCCGGTGACCGTGCCACGGGTGCCTGGCGCCGCCGGCCCGGCGCCCGGGCCGCCGCCGGCCCCGCCGGGCCAGGCCGCGGTGAGCCGCGGCGCAGGGGCCGGGCGGGCCGGGCCACTGGGCCAGCCGGGCCTACCGTTACTACTAGTGCCGCCGGGCCGCGGTACCGTACGGTACGTCGAGTCCGATAGTAGTCAGTACAGGCCTAGACTAGTACCGTACCCGGTACGGTAGCCCCCCGCCGGTGTAGTACGGTCCGGGTACTATGGCATCCTCAGCGCCGGGTACCAAGTTCGGGAGTCGGCAGTAGTCAGCCTGAGTCACGGGCTAGTACGGCCCCGGACGGTACTACGGTACCGGCTACTACCCGGGCCGGCGTAGTGACGGTACGGTACGGCGGCGGCGGGCCGCGGTTGAGTCCGCACTGCGGCGTAGGCTTTGGGGTTTCCTTGATTGCCATATAACTTGAAGTACGGTACCCTAGGCGGGCCCGGGCCCGAACATGACGTCGATATCACCTGCCCGGCTGAGTAGCCCGGGCCGCTGAGTACGGCGGCGGTGCCTGAGGCAGACTGGCTGCCACAGTGCAGTGCAGCAGCTGAGTGCCCTCTCATCATGATGCTGCTCAGTCACAGTGCCGCTGAGCCTCGGAGTGCTCAGCTGAGCGGCTGCGACGGTTCACTGATTGAAGTGAGACCGGAGGGCCGCCATGCCCGGCGGGGTCGTGACCGTACTGATGCCGCGAGTTCTCCCGGACCGGGCTGAGTCTCGGAGCCGGGCTTGGCCCGCCGCGCTCCCGGAGTCCCAGTGCGGTATGTCATAGCTGCTCCTCAGTGTCCTGCGGGACTATTTCGGCCTCGCCGGACCGCCGGACCGGCCGCCGTCACGGCCCGGTACCGTCACGGTCAAGCCAGTACCGAATAGAGTACCAACTTGAAGTTCTGCGCGGCGGTCACTAGTCTAGGCAGTACCCGGTCTAAGTGACTACAGTGCGTGTACGGCACGGTACGCAGGTTGAGTCTCGACTCAGTCACAGGCCGCAGTGGCACTCAGGGGCCTGCCGATCGGACGGTACTCACGCGGCGGGCGGCGCGGCGGGTACGCCGCGCAGCCTGTCACAGTACCCGTGACTGTAAGAACTCGGATAAGTTCTTGGAGACGGCGAGAAGTTCAGGGTATTGCGTCTCATCCGTGGACGAAGCTCAGCGAGATGGAAGTGGGTTTCGACATAGGTCTGGAATTAAGGAATCGACGAGCCTGAGGGTCAGGCGGAGAAGAGGGGGTTAGGAGGACACGTGTCCACTGCGCGCTGTGCAATGTACTGGGTTGCAAGGGACTGAAGGGAAGGTGACTGCTGTGAATAAAGGAAGTGTTGGTGGTGTTGTGTGGTTCTTCTGAGAGTTCTATCACCATCAGTGAAGGTGTTAGAGACTGCACAGCTGTGTATCGTTGAGGTGAATAAGGTTGGTGTAAGGATCTCAGGTGTACTGAGAATTAGTCTTTGGTGGATCTTGGGTTAAATAGATTCTGGCCAGTGAGGTGGAGGTTGATTCGATTACAAAGAGAAAATTTTCTCTTTGTTCTCAGTTCTCATTTTTTACTGTTGTTGCGCAACTGTGATTTACCGTACGGTCTGAACTGGAACAAAGAGTAAGTTCGGTTCATTGTTGCTATTTGAGTCGGTGATTCGATTGTTTGGAATCGTTGTTTGGAAGTTGGACTCGATTTTTTGCATTTTTTTCGCTTGTGCTAGGAAGTTGCCAGTTTGGAAGGTCACTGTTTGAGTCGGTGATTCGATTGTTTTTTGGACTCGTTGTTTGGAAGTTGGCCTCGATTTTTTTTGCATTTTTTACGCTTGTGCTTGGAAGTTCAGTTTGGAAGGTCGGAGTCGATTCTTGTGTGGAACGTTGCTACTGATTTTTCGACATTGCTTTTACCATGGGAGGAGGAAAATTGGACCTCAGTGAAGAATTGATCAAGACTCATCCTGAGTTACAGATGGACACATTCCTCAAAGGATCGGTGACGTCACAGGAGGAATTGGATGAACTTCTGCTTCCGATTCAGAATGCAATGAATCGATATCGGACAGGATTGGGCATGTGTTTGTTCCCGCTGATACGAGAGTTTCCACTCGATCAACTCGGTAATTTTGGTGGTGAGTTTCATACTGTATGGGAAAAGAACAAGAGTGTGAATGTGGATGGCGAGTTGACGGAGGAATGGAAAAGGCAGGTCGTTTTGCTTTTCCTGAATGCCAAATTTTGTTGGAGGAAGAGCGGGCAGATTCGAGATTATGTGGAGCAGTTGCAAAATTTGTCCAAGACGGTGTCGGATCAGTATGGTAGTCCTGTTGATGAAGGGGATTCCGGCAATCCAGTGAGTGCTTCTGGCAAGAAGAAAAAGAAGGGGGTAAGCCGAAGGGATTCTGATGGCAAGGAGATGGATGCCGCGATGATTAACGCGTTATATGAAGACGTTGAATATTTTCTCCTGGAGCTTGGCCAATACTTTCGATCCTATCTGAAGCCATTATTTCCTGTTCCATGGGCTATGTCAGGAGGATTCAAGTCCAAGTTGGCTCCGATCAAAGCTCTGGCGTATATGATATGGGAAGTCAGAAAGCGCAGTGGGAATCTCAATGCCACTCCGGATAAAACGCGGATGGAGCTTCTGACGCTGGCAAAGTCGAAATTGCCTGACATATCTACCTTCCACAGCGTTATGGTCCAGATGAAGATCCTGCTTAACAAGTTGACTAAGCCGCTTGGACTAGGAGCAGAAGACT